GTGATGTACTTGTAGCAAGACCGTATATATATTTCCTTCACTTTGTTTTGGTCATTAGGGAAGTGTGTTTTGTCTTGCAATAGAGAGAACTCGGCTGCCTTGCTTTGTGCTTCCGTTCTTTGAAGTTTGCCTTGTGATCTTCTCCTTACCCTTTAGCCTTTGTGGCTCCAAACACCTTCCCCCTTCGTGTTCTAAGTGGACATATTGGTAGCAACCAAAGAGAGAAAGTTTGAAGGTTTCTTGGGTCATTTACTTGGGTGTTGATTCTTGGTGAAGCTGAGCCCGGAATAGTGTTGATTGAAGCCCAAAATACAACAGTTGCAGCATTGACAACTCCATTTTGATAAAAATCCTCGAAAACATTAAATAGATACCTTCTTATAATAAATTATGTTTATTCATTTCATTGCCAATTCAAGAAGTTCAAGTTCATAAGACTTAACATGCTCTCTATTTCGCTGCCTCACAAACTTTCAACTAAGTGGCATAGAATAAGATATGCCAAAAACAACACACAATTAGGATAATGGAACCAAACATTTGAAAACTTCTAAGAGAACTTAGATATAAGAACGATAGATAAACTACTATATTCATTCTTCAACCTCCACCCCGGAAACCCAGCTAACAATACCAAGTACCAACAACTGCATTCGCTCGTAACAATTTCAAGCTTGAACCAAGTTCGGCTTGATCAGCTATCATCGACAAAATACATAGAAAAGTCAAAGCTACTCAAGCAGCCTCTATATATCGCAGTCCTAATTTAAGCCAAGCTCTTACGCATTAAGAAAATCCCAAGTCAGATGAGTTCCTCCTTATAAATTGATGTTAAGAATCTCAGGCCATCGGATGACCCTTTAAAACGCAATAGAGAAACTATGACCATAGAGTAAACCCTCGTCTTTCTCTAGATTAAGAAATCAAAAACAAAACCCACCAATTTTCGCTGCAATAAATTTTCCAAGTGCACAACTTATGAACTAAGTTTCGATAACCACAAGGGTGTAAGAAGAAATCAAGGCATCCTAGATTAGCAATGAATTGCAGGGAAAAAAATGAAAAGCTAAATAACAAAAATAAACCTTGGAAGTAATGAGATGACAGCCTCGTCTTTGGGCAGGAATGGTTACAGTCTTCTGAGCCCATTTGGGAGCTGTAACAGTTTCAACAGTCGCACCAGATGCCATAGAAATTGAATTTACAAAAAGCTGATTCTTGATTGTTCTACTGGGAGAGGAATTGTGCGAAAAGTTTATTGCAATAGGGCTTGATAAGGGTTTCAGTGTGGCAGTTTTACGCACAGATATAAATGACGGTGATGCGGGTAATCCGCGATATTAGCGTCTGCATTTCCGTCCCTGATAATGGGAGAATTAAGCTTTGTTGACATTTAAATTTGACATTTTTTTTTTTATTTTTGATATCCAGATATCCTAACT